ACTTCCAGCTCAACTCCTGAAAGACAGGGTTAAACAAATCAAGCTGGAGGCTTCTTTAAACCAGGAAACCTAAATAATTTAAAGGAAAGTATGGAAGCTGGTGTTAAACACTGTTAACAGGTATTACTTTGTTCCATGACATACAGGTGGTGAAAATGTCATATTTCGTTAACTGTCTAAATTAAATACCCGTGGCTGTCATCCATCAATGGGTAGAAAATCTAGGTCCTTTTTCAAGAGCTTCCAGGTATTTGGGGGAAGATGTCTCTCAGTCTAAGGTGCCTGTCAGGCCAGGCATGGTGGCTCATGCCTGTAATCCCAGCACTTTGAGAGGCCAACGTGGAGGATTGCCTGAGGCCAGGGGTTCAAGACCAGCCCGAGCAACATAGCAAGACCCTATCTCTACTAAAAATTTAAAAATTAGCCAGGCATGCTAGTATGTGCCTGTAGTCCTAGATACACAGGAGTCTGAGGTAGAAGGAGCCCTCTAGGTCACAATAATCTATGATCATGCCACTGCACTCTAGCCTGGGTAACAGAACGAGAATGATCTGTAAAAAATAAATAAATAAAAAAATTTAAAGGTGCATGCCACCCTTGGTGCTCTTTGCCCATATAATGATCTATTCTAGGGCCCTTTCTCCAGGTCTTGTTGTGGCATGGAGACCTCTACTGAGGCTCCAGAATAGCAGTACCTTTGCTCACCTCCCTGAGCACATAGTCATCCCCATTCAAGGCCCTGCAGTCCTAGGGGTCTGTGGGAGATCTGGAGTGGGACCTGGCTATACAAGGGAGCCAAAGTGCCCCTCAGCACCATCCCCTCAAGGCCAGACTCAGGAAATTCTCTCTCCTTTGCCCCTCTTCTAATCCTAAGAGCCCTTCTTTCTGTCAGACAAAACAGCTGTATTGCCTTTGAGTCTCTGGATTGATTTCAAGATCAAAAGGCTGTTGATTTCTTTCTTTTCTTTTTCTGAGATGAGAGAAGGCCTGAAGTCCAAAACAAAAAGCCCTGGTTTCTCTTTTGGGGTGGAGAGTGTGGAGGAAGATACGAATGGTCCATTCTTCCATGAAGAGCAGAATGGCTGACACCACAGAAAATAAGACAGTCAATTCCTCAAGCCAGTTATCCTGTCCAATACTGAAGTGGTGCTTATTTCATGCCTTCTTCCCAAAGTACTTCCTACAGGAAGAGGCAGTAGCCCAGGCTATGGGTGAGGATCCACACTGATACTTTTATAGCCTCAGATGTGGGATGCTCCAGGTTGGAAGTAAGCAGCAAACTTAGGATCCCTTATCTTTTTAAATTTTATGGATAAATAAGAGTTGTACATATTTATGTAGTACATGTGATATTTGGATATAAGCGTACACTGTGCAAAACTCAGGGTAATTGGGGTATCCATCACCTAAAGCATTTATCATTTCTTTGTGTTGGGAACATTCCAATTCTACTCTTTTAGTTTTTTTGAAATATATAATAAGTTATTGTTAATTATAACCACTCTATTATGCTACCAAACACTGGATCTTACTCCTTCTGACTATATTTTTGTACCCATTAAACCAACCTCTCTTCATTCCTCCCTCCCCACTACCCTTCCCAGCCTCTGATAACCATCATTCTACTCTCTAGCTCCATGAGTTTTGTTTTGTTTTTTTAACCTCCAGCATAAGTGTGAACATGTGAAATTTGTCTTTCTGTGTCTTATTTCACTTAACCTGATGTTCTACAGTTCCATCCATGTTGTTGCAAATGACAGAATTTCATCCTTTTTTACAGTGGAATAATGTTCCATTGTGTATATATACCACATTTTCTTTATTCATCCACTGATGGACACTTAGGTTGATTCCATATCTTGGTTATTATGAATAGTTCTGCAGTAAACATGAGAGTGCAAATATCTCTTCAATATGCTGATTTCCTTTCTTTTGGATATATACCCAGCAATGGGATTGCTGGATCATATATGGTAGTTTATTTTTAGTTTTTTGGGGCAGGATCCCCAGTCTTCTGTGTAGGGTTCCAGAATAACTAGGAAGAGTAGGGCTGGTACTGCCAGTTTCTAGTTCCCTGGGCCTGACCTAGTTTAGGCTTTCCTTTTCCCTGATCTCAGGAAGTGTTTGATGAACCCATGAGAAAGTTAGCCCAGGACCCCATCTAGCCCTTACATAATGAGCTGGATAGTAGAATAATAGAAGAGAGCTCCCTTGATCACTTATTTATTTTGAATAAATTTTTATTTTTTAATATTTCATTAAAATATCATTTATTTTGGTTATTGGGGTTTTTGGTACCCTCTTAAATTTTGCACTACAGATGAATGCACTCCTCTCACCCTACCTAGTCTGTCCATGGGCTGCTGCCCCCTGTCAGAGCTACCTGGAGCCCCTCTGGTTGTAGGATGTAGAGAATGGCCTGGTCCTGACTCTGTGAGACCCTCAGTGGGACACAAGCATCTCAGCCTAGTCCTAAGTGAGGACACAAGCATCTCACTAGTCCTAAGTGAGGGTTGATGGCCCAGCATCAACACTTTTCCCATTGACACCCCAGGTATCAAGTCAAGAGTCCTTTGATTGATTTTTGTCATAGATGGAGAGAATTTGCTCACACACTACCATTCATTAGGGGTCACATGAGGATCCAAGAATTTCATGACATAATCTCGATTGACTTGATTTGACTAAATCCACATTCTTTAGCATGGCCCATAATTATGGAACACCTGCTGTTCTATAAGCACTATTTTAGACATTGAGGATACAGCAGTGTACAAGACAGATGGGATACTTTCATGGAGCTTACACTAGACCAAAACAAATAGACAAACAAGATACGGTTGATCCTTGAATAATACAGTGAATAGGGGTGCTGACCCCCCTTACAGTGGAAAATACATGTATAACTTATTTTTTTCTAGAGATGGGATTTTGCTCTGTCATCCAGGCTGGAGTGCAGTGGCCTGATCATAGCTCACTGCAACCTCTCAAACTCCTGGGTTCAAGCAATCCTCCTGCCTTAGACTCCTGAGTAGCTGGGACTACAGGTGTGTGCCGCCAAACCTGGCTAATTTTTCATATTTTTAGTAGAGACAGGCCCTTGCTATGTTGACCAGGCTGATGTTGAACTCCTGGCCTCAAGCAATCCTTCCACCTTGGTCTCCCAAAGTGCTGGGATTACAGGTGTGAGATACCATGCCTGGCCTGTGTATAACTTTTGACTCCCCTCAAATTTAACTACAAATAGCCTATTTACTGGAAGCCTTCCCAATAACAAATAATTGATTAACACATATTTTATATATGTATTATATACTATAGTCTTACAATGAAATAAGCTAGAGAAAAGAAAATGTTATTAAGAAAATCACAAGAAGGGCCGGGCATGGTGGCTCACACCTGTAATCCTAGCACTCTGGGAGGCCGAGGCAGGTGGATTGTTCAAGCTCAGGAGTTCAAGACCAGCCTAAGCAAGAGCGAGACCCTATCTCTATTATAAATAGAAAGAAATTAATTGGCCAACTAATATATAGAAAAAAATTAGCTGAGCACAATGGCACATGCTTGTGTAGTCCCAGCTACTTGGGAGGCTGAGGCAGAAGGATTGCTTGAGCCCAGGAGTTTGAGGTTGCTGTGAGCTAGGCTGATGCCACGGCACTCCAGCCAGGGCAACAGAGTGAGACTCTGTCGAAAGAAAGAAAGAAGAGAGAAAGAGAGAAAGAGAGAGAGAAAATCACAAGAAAGAGAAAATACTTTACAATACTGTACTGTATTTATTGATATCATAAGTTTTCATCATCTGTTTACAAGATGAATTGTCTGTCTGAAATGGCAGGCAACCACAGCTGCAAATCTCACTCTACAGTACATATCAAACAATTCAACTTTTTCTTGTAATGTCATGACTTTTTTCTTCTTCTTGGGAGCATTTCCAGCATCACTAGTGGCGTTTCATATGGGTCCCATCATATTATTCAAGGTTTACAGTATTGCACTAAACATGATGAAAAATACTCAAAAACCATGAGTGATCACTTTTTACTGCAATACGCAAATTCCTGGAGAGACAAACTGCTTCCACAGAGATGATTAGTGTCACATGACTTTTTAAGTGGATACTGGCAACACTTGAGCTCACTGCAATAGCAACAGCAAGTGTCTATGAAATTATTACAGTAATACCGTATGTACTACAGTTAATTTTATGCAGTTATGATGTAATACTAAATCTTTATATTTGTTCACATTTCTCCTGATGGTGAAGGGCATCATGTACAGCCTGTACATGCGTGCATAATTTTGATAAGTTTTAAATTTTTATAATATATTTGTGTATATTTTATGGTAGTAAATGATAAAAAGGACTAGTATCTACATATATTTTATGCATTCATGATATACTTAACTTTTTAACTTTTTCTTAATTTTTTTCATATTTCTAGGTTACACATTTCATCTGAGAGGTTTTTCAAATTGTTGCAAATCTCCAAAAAATTTTCTAATATATTTATTGAAAAAAGTCCACGTATAAGTACAGTTCAAGCCTGTGTTATTCAAGGGTCAATTGTAATTTCAAATAATGATGAGTTCTAAGAAGAAAATAAGGTTATATGATAGTCAAGTGGGGATACCTTGACAGAAGTTGGTCAGTTATAAACATGCATGAGGCAGATTCTAAGGCTGAGATACAGTGCAGTTCAGTAGAGAACTTCCAGTTTCTCCAGAAGTGGCGAATAACTTTCCTACTGGATATCCACACAGAAATGTGTGAATATGCCTATGTGGCATGTGCTGCCACACCTCCCACTGCCAGAGGTTTGGTCACAGTTACAGCATCTTTACAACCTGTTTAAATCAAACTTGCAGTATCTGGCAGCAAATATCTTTCCCTGACAGGCTGATTCATTGAGCCTCTCTGCACAATTGGAAGAGGGATCGTTAGTGAGGCATTCAGGAACCAGGGGTCCCAGAAAGGTATGTAATAAATTTCATCCAGATGTTGGGATAGGTTTCTTTTTTTCTTCTTTTTCTTTTCTTTTTTTTTCAATCACATTAAAAATTTGAACAAGTTGTATTCACATTATCAAATAAGGTGGGAAAAACATTGCTTCCCTTTATTCCTGTGTGAGTCTGCACCAAAGGAGCAAGAGGCTAACAGCATCTGGGTAATACCAGCTGGCACCTGAATTATTGGAAAGTACTTGGTACATTTGACAGAATTATCTAAACAGGTAGATGGTGTTGCAAACACTTCAGCAAAACCCAATTAGAGGCCTCCAAGTCCATTCTAATTTACAGCTTCCAAACTGTTTACCTATAGTGTAGGCAGCCCATCTGTTTTGAAATTCTTCTAGGAAACTATGGCTGTCCAAATTAGTCCAACAAATAGCTGAAAGTACACATTGCTCTGTTAGGAAAGGAAAAGCAGACCTAGGTAAAAGTGCAAAATTTTATTGGAGCCTAAATGGGCAGCTTTGTTGTGCTGTATGGCTAGCAACTGGGTCATTAGATAACTCACAAAACACTTCTCTAGCAGCCCAGGCTTTCCTGAGGTTAACTCTTGCAGGAGAGCTAGGATGAGGAAAAAGAGATTTTCCCAAGCTGCAGCTGCATTTGATGTCCCCTTCACCCCACACCTGAGCTCCTGCTCCCTGGAAGAAAAACCTAAATAAAGACAGCAGTGGCAGCAGAGAGAGATTGTTCTTGGTAGTGGCTGCTCCTGACTTTAAACTCTGGACATTGAGCTAGAAAGCAGTGCTGAGAAGGAGGACGAAGAATAAATGATACTGGGAAATGGGAAACCCCAAGAAGAAAGAATCTTACTTTTCTCCTCTGAAAAAGGTAGGCTTTGCAATCTTCATCTTTTCATCTGGATTGGTGAGCCTCGAAATTATTAGTCTTTACTTAAGCAGAACAAGAGTCTCACCTATTTACTAGATTAAATTAACAAGCAAGCAAACAAAAAACTCTTTTGAGGGTGTTTGCTGAATCCCTTGTGATTATTTGTACCTCACTTTAAAAATATTTGCTTTGGCACTTTAAAAATTTGATTCAAATCTTCAGTGGAAATTTGTTTCAAAGGGGGAAAAAAAAAGGAAGAAAGAAAACAAAACCACCCAACACATTTCATGCGCCTTGCATTTTGACCCAGCCCACAGAACGACTGGAAGACTCTTCATAGATCACCAGAGGTCCCGGATTCCATTGGTAAAACTGTTGATCTACATCTTGATTTCAGAACCCTTCTTTTGATCTGGAATTATCTCTTATTGACCACAGAGAGCAGCTACTGACGATTCCTGGAACAGGGCCCTGTATAGAAAGGTGAGCCTCAGTGGGGAAAGAAGAAATTTCTTTCTATTTCTGAAAGGGTGTTTTGGTACAACATGATATCTTTGCTGTTGTAATATATCCATGGGCTCAATTTCTTCTCCGCTTTCTCTTCTTCCGCCTCCATTCCCTCTCCTTCCTTCCTCGTCCTCTTATTTTTTGCTTGTTTCTTTGTTTGCTTCTTATATGGTAAAACTGTCCCTAGGCTAAGGTGCCTGGATGATTTTTGCCTGGTACATTTGGTTAATTGGAGTTTCAAACTCACAGTTTCTTATTTGGAATTTTCCAAAACGTGTAAGCACCTAAATTATTGTAAAAGCGGCTGGCCACTGCACATGCCTTGTAGGCAGGTAGCTGAGATGGTACCAGAAAAGAAAGGGCTGCAGGTCAGTTCGGTACCCTTCACTGTGCCCGAGTGCAGAGCCCTACTGAGATACAAGTAGGAACAGAGAAGAACCGTTGGAGAGGGAGCAGCCATGTTGCACTGAGCCCACAACACAGACAATCTGAGAAGCAAACTCAGGGTGTTATGGAACATAACATGTCCTGGAAGCATGCCGTTAGAAATCTCCTGAGCTGAGCCCTGAGAATGAGATGTTCCCTTTGGTCAAACTGCTCTGTAAAAATAAAGAAGAATCTGATTCATGTTCAAGGTAGGGACTGTGCCTGCATCTACTTTTCTTAAGCCACAGGGATTTCATTAAGGATCCGGGCACTTACACTGATGGCTTTGCTTTTGGGCACAACCCTCAGCAGAATAGTCCCATACAAAGGTAATTACCAGGAATGGGGGGCCCTTTTGATTAAGTCACTCCAACATCCTGTTAAACAGATGTAAGAAAGGAGACTGACCCTTACCTCAAAAGAAGTATTAGTAAATTGAAGGTTGAAGTATTTGGTTTCAGCCTCTGTCAGGCTGAGGCTTTGAAAACAGAATTTTGTGGATCCAGGAAACCCAATACCAGATTCTATTGCTTTGGAGCTCTTGCAAATTCTAGTACATAGGGAAATGTATAGCCACGATTGAGACAATTACTTTTAGTGGGCTATTTTACTGTCCACTGCAATAATCCTCATTTTGTGTAAGTGGCTGTGGGATGGAATGCAATCTGGGAAAGGAGCTGTTTCTGGTTCTTCAAGACAATCTAGAGGAATCTCAAAGATTAAAATAACATAAAACTTACCATATCTCAGTTACATCTTGACTCTTTTTTGTAAGCACTTCTGCATATGGGTAAGCATTCTAGTAAAATGCCGTTACAGTCTGGCACAGGAAAGTAAAGGAGTCAAGTGTTCAGAGTTGGGCAAAAGAGGTAAGGAACCAGAGCCAGGATATTCATCAGAAAGGGAGAAGAGTTCTTATAGAAGAAAAATAGAAAACAGAAAACAAAAAGATCAGATGTCTGCGAGGGGGTTTCAGGTAGGGCATCATTATTAACTGAGATAAGAAAGAATACAATTCATAGGGAAAATGTACACAAAGAAATAGAGTGTGATTTGAGAGAAAACTGACTTCAGTTGGGTTGAGAAGATCTAGTCAGATTTGGGGAGAAAAATGGAAAGATTTGGTTACTTTTGTATAGTTAAAAAAAAAAAAAAAAAAAAGAAAAATGGAAAGAACTGTAAAGCTAGAGTCTGTATTTAATTTCAATAACTGTGTAGCTGGATCTAGGGGGCCAAGTATTCCCCAAAGCCCTTAGAAATCTGTATTTTGCTTACAGGGCAGCTTTCTTGAGGAAAAAGATAAGGAATGGGAGTGTTGCCAGTGGGGGGAAGGGTTCCATAAGCCCCTTGATGGCTTCCACAAAGGTAGGATGCAGCCATAAATTGCCTGCTAGACAGCCACCAGTTTGGTCTCCATCTGTTCCCTGAACCTGTGCTTACAGATTTTTCTCTTTATATTCAGATATTTTTTTTAGAAGAATCAGAACAAAAGTACTAAATTCAAGACATTCACAATTTGAATCTTGTTTAAAAGATGGAAGGATGAGAGTTGTGATTCTCCTCACTTCTCTAGAAATAGTTGAAGCAGATAGAATCTCAGGTGTTAGTATTTTCACTTTTCCCTTAGGTTATTCTGCTCTCAAATGCCATTAGGATTCATTCAATACAAACAGCCAGTAATTGGTCTTTTAGGAAGCAGAATAGTGGTTATTTAAAATTGTCTCCTTATGTCCTGGAGCTGTGCCCCTTGACATTTGCCCTCAGGGAAGTGTACACAGTGACAACTGACTATCTGTTTATTTCATTGAACTGACTTAAAACAGATACCTCGTCCCTGGCATTACTATAAGTTAGGGGAAAATGCTCCATCCTGGCATTACTATAAACTAGGGAAACAGAAAAATTTGCTGAACCCAAGTGAAAACATTTGCTGCTTGGAAGCTAGGCTTAGCAAGCTCATGCGTCCTGACTTACAGGAATAGCTGGCTCTAGTGAACAAAGCTCAGGACCAGGAATTAAGGGAGCGGATTCTGGTCTTTGATCCACCTCTAACTGCCTGTGAGACTTGACCTGCTCAGGGGTTCCATTTTCCTAAGCATCAAATGGAAGAACAAAGACTTGCCTCCTCTACTGGCCAGGATCCTTGTGAATAAGATGACAGCCTAAAGTATCTGCCTTAGCTGGGGGACAGTGAATGGAGTCAGATCCCCTAGGTTGTGATAGCTGACTTTTTGACTTGATTGCTTAATTTTTTAAATCTTCATTTACCTTTTTCCTGGACTCCAAAGTGGTATGGACACGCTTTTATTTTCTTTTAAGTAAAGTTGTTATTGAAATAAAACACAAAGAGAAGTGTCCAGCTTGATAAATTTTCACCATGTGAACATACCCAGAAAACCAGAATCTAGATCTAGAAATAAGATACTAACAACACTCAGAAGCCTTTTCATTCCCTCTTCAAGTCCGTTTTTCTCCCAAGGATAATCCCTAACCTGACTTCTAACACCACAAATTAAGTTTTGCCTGTTTGTGGGCTTTATATATGTGTGTGTGTATGAGTTTTTATGTATCATTTCTTTTCCTTAATATTAGGTTTGTGAGATTCATTCTTATTATTGCCTATGGTAGTATTTTGTTTGTTCTCATTGTTGTATAGCATTTCATGAATTAATATGCCACAATTTATTTATCGATTCTTTTATTAATAGATATTTGGGATGTTTCCAGTTGGGGGTTATTTTGAACAGTGGTGCTAGGAATATTCTTGAACAGATTTTTTATAAACATATGAATGTATTTCCATTGGGTATATCTAGAAGTGGAATTGCTGAATCATAGGACAGGTGTGTGTTCTGCTTTTACAGATATTACTAGTTTCCAAAGTGGTCATATTATTTTACACTCTCTCCAGCAATGTCTGAAATTTCAATTTTTTCTTCATCCTCACCAGTAGTTGGTATTGTCCATCTTTTACATTTAGCCATTTTGATGGATGTCTAGTGAAATGCTTTTTTATTTTAATTTTCATTTCCTTGAAGACTAATGAAGTTGAGCACCTTTTAATCTACTTATTGGCCATTGGCTATTCTGTTTTATAAAATAGCTGTTCAGGTCTTGAACCTGTTTTTTTATTGGGTTGTCTGATATTTTTATTGACCTATGAAAGTTCTTTAAATATTATAGATATGAGCCCTTTGTTGTGTACTTGTTGCAAATATCATTTCCCACAGTGCCATATTGAATCATATTGGAGCCTGAGGCAAAAGAAGAAATCAAAATACTGATTCCTGTCTTTATTTAAAATTTTGATATTTTGTTTACTATGGATCTTTTATGTTAAATTTAATTTTAAAAAATATTGCATTAAAATCTTACTTATTTTGATTACTGAGGCTTTTCTTATCCTGTTAAAGAATTGTGTCTAAGATGAGCTTTCTTCTATTCCTAGTTTGATGTGATTTTTAAACAATTAATAGATGTTGAATTTTATGAAATTTATTTTCCTCAATTAAAATGACCCTGGTGATTTTTCTATCTTATTAATTTTATTTTTTATTTTTATGGACATATAATAGTTGTATATATTTATGGGGTACTTGTGATATTTTGATATAAGCATATAATGTATAATGATCAAATCAGTATAATTATAATATCTATCACCTCAACCATTTATCATTCCTTTGTGTTGGAAACATTCCAAATATATTCTCTATTTTGAAATATACAATAAATTATTGTTAGTTACAGTCACCCTATTGTGTTACTGAGCACTAGATCTTATTCTTCAATCTAATTGTACTAATATTTTTTTTTTTTTTTTTTTGAGACAGAGTCTCACTTTGTTGCCCAGGCTAGAGTGAGTGCCGTGGCGTCAGCCTAGCTCACAGCAACCTCAAACTCCTGGGCTCAAGCAATCCTTCTGCCTCAGCCTCCCGAGTAGCTGGGACTACAGGCATGCGCCACCATGCCCGGCTAATTTTTTGTATATATATATTTTTAGTTGGTCAATTAATTTCTTTCTATTTTTGGTAGAGACGGGGTCTCGCTCAGGCTGGTTTCGAACTCCTGACCTTGAGCAATCCACCCGCCTCGGCCTCCCAAAGTGCTAGGATTACAGGCGTGAGCCACCACGCCCGGCCTAATTGTACTAATATTTTTGCACCCATTAACCAACTGTTATCTATCTCCCCTCCCCACTACCTTCCCAGCCTCTGGTAACCACCATTTTATTCACCTTCATGAGATCAATTTTTTTTTTTTTGAGACAGAGTCTCACTTTGTTGCCCAGGCTAGAGTGAGTGCCTTGGAGTCAGCCTAGCTCACAGCTACCTCAAACTCCTGGCTCAAGCAATCCTTCTGCCTCAGCCTCCCAAGTAGCTGGGACTATAGGCATGCACCACCATGCCTGGCTAATTTTTTCTATATGTTTTTAGTTGGCCAATTAATTTCTTTCTATGTATAGTAGAGATGGGGTCTCTTGCTCAATTTTTTTTAAGCTCCCATGTATGAGTGCAATATTTGACTTTCTGTGCCTGGTTTATTTCACT